AAAAGGTTTACTTTGTGGAGTTCAAGTAGTCCTCGATTATTTTCCCCAGGGAGGCGTTAACGACGGTTGTTGGAGCCATGTACACAAATCCTGTATCAAGATACCTGTCACCTTTCATTATGGCGCCAATGCCCCCGAGACCTTTGATGGTGGAATCCGCCCCGTCAGTATCCGTGAAGCAGTATATGATCTTCCCTTTCACCTTCTTAGGATCCATTGAATCTTCATAACAGGACCTAATTGTCACATGATCAAACAAGGCATGCCAAAGTCAAAGATTACATTGTTTAGGATTTTGTTTGTTTTGGCAAAGTGGGTTTTCTTTTATCCAGCTGACCATATTTTAAATTGTTTCTCTACAGTTACAGGAGTTCATTACAAAATTTTCCCCATCTCTTATTCCAAAATATTTCCCATAGTGTCAAAGCCATATGAATGGCAAATATGAGTACCTTGCAGATTCCTTATCACCAGAGTCACTGGCCACATCAGCCCCACTTGCCAGAGGATACAAGTTTTGCTTTGGCTCAATTGGGCTCACTCCAATTCCCTACACACAAAATCCTCAATGATACATACCACTTGAGCTTAAAATAAAATAAAAAAAAAGTCTTAAAACACATTCAAAAAGTCAAACGACCTACCGACAAAATGGCCCCATCGCCCAACACCACCCTGCTCCTGAACTGGCGGTCAATGCCATTGGCCGCCACTGTCAGCATCCAGGGTGCGTGGTTCGTGACTGATCCTTCGTACGGCCCAGAGTTCCCCGCTGAGGCCACCGTGAGGATCCCTTTGCTCGAGGCTCGGAAAGCGCCAATACATATGATATCCTCAGTATAGGGTCCCGTGCGGCCCCCGATCGAAAGGGATATGACATCAACACCGTCGTGTATGGCGTCGTCAAACGCCGCCAGCAAGTCCATGTCTGCACAGCCGCCCGAGGCCCAACACACCTTGTACATTGCCACGCGGGCTGAAGGCACTGCCCCACGAGCCGTGCCCTCGCCAATTCCGAACAGGCTCGCTTGCTCGACCGCGCTCCCTGCTGCGGTCGATGACGTGTGGGTCCCGTGGCCCTGCACGTCGATGGGCGACAGGATGTCGTCCGGGTCTGGCTGCTTGTCCATCTTGTAGTACTTTGCACCGATGAGCTTGCTTCAATAGTTGTC